AACCTTTGAAGGCATCAATTCTTATTCTTCTTCCCTGAAAAATCTAGAATAGCTAATTTTTTAAAATTTTTTAAAATTTTGTTTAAATATGATTATGCTAACTTTAATTCAAATTGGACTTTTATGTTTCATTGAAATTAAGCATAGCTCAACTGGATTAGGTTCTTGCCATTCTACTAAATGTAGTGCTGGTGGGTACTGACGTCGTTGTTAGGTGCCGTCAAGTTGACTCATAATGACCCTGTGGACACAGAATGGAGCCTTGCCCTGTCCTGTGCTGGCTTCCTCATGATCTGCACCCTGCATGAGTCCATCACAGCGGTGACTGTATCAACCCATCTCACGGAGGGTTGTCTTATCTTTTTCCAAAGACTGGCACCACCCCCCAAACCTCTAACATTCCCAGACCTGCACTTCCTCCACAACAGAGTCCTTTGCTCCTTTGTCAGTCCATGGTATACACAAAAAATGGCAGCCCAGCAGTGCTGGGGCGGGAAATGTTTAACCCTGCGGTGGTGTGTGGGACACACCTTGTCCACAAACACGTCCAGCCTCTCGGGCTTCTTGGGAAGCTGCTATCCCAAGTGTAGGAGGTGGTACCACATGGAGAGGACCTGAAGAAACAGGCCTCGCACCACCAGTTCCACCAGCAGAGTCTGAAGTGTGGGACATCTGCATTCTGTATAACTGTATCAAGATCCATCTTAGCCCAACAAATACTTTTCCTAGATTTTTTATATACCCTCCAGTACTGAAAACAAATGATATCAACAAGATTTCAAAGCAGAAAATAAGTCAGTCATGAGAAGGGAATGAGAAAGGCCTAACCAGCTTTTGAGAAATGGACAGATGTTCAACAACTACCATCACTACACATTAAAGATGGGTTCGCCATGCCAAATCTAGAGGCCAGGAATTCACATGTAATTTCTGCTGAAATCAGCTGCCCAGAACATATAATAAAAGCTTCAGGGAATGATGAGATATGTACATCTCTCTGCAGAAACACAGCTGCCACCCAACAAAGCCAAGCAATTTCACTAAACAGGCTAATTCCATATTTTTGTCCCAGAGGAAGAAGAATTCAGGATGTAATTTCCAGTGGCATAATGTCAGGCCTAATCTTAACCTAGGGAGTCCTGGTAGCACAATAGTTAAGTACTTGGTTGTACACTAAAATTTGGGTGGGTGGTTTGAATGCACCAGCTGTTCTATGGTGGAAAAGTCTTAGTGCCCAACTTCTGTCAGGATGAATCCATTGTCATTGAGTCAATACCAATTCATAGCCCATGTTGAGGGCTGAATAGAACTGCCCCATACGGTTTTTGAGGTTGTAAATATTATTCTTTTTAAAGGCCGGAAATCTTTATGGAAACAGATTGTCACTTCTTTCTCCCCAGGAGTGGCTGGAGTTCAAACTACTGGCTTTTCAGTTCTTAGTAGTTGAGCACTTACCCATTAGGTTAACCTGTTACTACTTAAGTAGAAATCCATCGCTGTGAAATCCATTCCAATTTATAGCAACACTACAGGACAGAGGAAAGCTACCACAGAGAGGTTCCTTGGTTATAATATTTATGAAAGCAGACTGCACCATCTTTCTCCCGTTGTTGTTTTGTGCCTTTGAGTCCTAGCCAACCCATCGCTTCCCTCTAGTGGGTTTTTGAAGGCAGTCAATTCCACTATAGGAAAAGAGCTGGTGGATTCAAACATCACCCCTGTGGGATTGCAGCACAGCTTCTTACCACTTGGTCACCAGAGCTCCCGGCATAGGTAGTAGGTTAGAGTAATTGACCTCTCAGTGAGTAGCCAAGCTGTTTACCACTGTCCCTCCAGTGGTGCTGTTAGGTGCTGTCAAATCAGTTATGCCTCAGAGCGATGCTGTGTACAACAGGACAAAACTGCTTGACCTGGGCCAGCCACACAATTGTTGCTACGTTGGAACCCGTTAGTGTAACCACTGTGTTGATCCATCTCTTTGAGGGTTTGCTCTTTTTATTTTCTCTCTGACTCTCTACCATAAGTGTCTTTCTCCAGAGCTAGTCCTTCCTGGTAAAAATGTCCAAAGTGCATGACTCGTCGTCTCATCATCCTTGCTTTTACGGAGCACTCGGATTCTGGCTGTACTTCCTCTAGTCCGTGGTGCACTCAACAGCCGTCACCAGCACCATAAATCAAGCTCAGCAATTCTTCCCTCTTCCCGAGTCACCACCCAGCATCCACAAGCACATAATGAAATTTAAAATGCCATGACTTGAGTCAGTCTTCAAGTGGCATCTTTGTTTTATTAAACTCTGAAGAAATCATGTCAATTACTTTCTTAACCGTTACTTCCATGGGCATGGATTGTGGATCCAAGGAACATGTAATTTTGACGAGGTCAATGTTTTTTCCATTCATGATTATGTTGTTTACTAGTCCAGTTGTGAAGATTTTTATTTTCTTTCTGTTAAGGAGTAATCCCTACTGAAAGCTGCAGCCTTCCATCTTTATCAATAAGTGCTTCAAATTCTCTATCAGAAAGCAAATGCGTGTTATTTGCATATTTCAGGGTTGTTAATGAGTCTCTCTTAACCGTGTTGCTAAATGCTTTTTCATAAAGAAAACAGCTTCCGAAATTATTTGTTCAGCATTGCTCACCATAGAGATTGAGTAAATGTGATAAAAGGAAAGAATGGGCCTTAAAATATACCACAAGATCTCCAGTGCCCTCCAGTGGTTACAATTAAAATTGCTTACTGTATGACACTGATGCACGCCTTCAAGTGGAGTACAACTCACAGCAGCTCTCTGAACAACTGAGCCGAACCCTATATCCTGTGCCACCCTCATCATCTCTTACACACTTGAGCTAAATGACAAAGCTATTATAGACAAGGTTTATTACTTTCTTACCTTGAAAGCTACCATGTTTGCGTCAGAACAAAATTAGTTAACATCGGTCGTAAAAACTCTCTTTGCTCTTATCGCTAAGCATTCACCTAAGTGTCTGTTTCCTGGTGGTCTGTCTTTGCAGCGCCTTTAAACACAACCAGGAAGGTGTAAGTACCCCTCCAGTGACCATCAGTGAGACTGGGTTAACAATACACTATACACTCACAAGGTTGTAAGCGTTCAGCCAACATGAAGAGCAAGAAGGTGGAAATGAAAAACGGGCAGGAAGAAGCATAACAAAGAGTGAGAGGTGAACACTGCAAACAAAAATTAGCCAATTTGGCCACGAGCACCTTATCCATCGTATCTGAGAAGTTTGAAGGCTCATCTTTCCTTCATCCTCAGCACCAGGTTATAGTGAAAGCAACTGACCCCAAAGGAGAATTTCTTTCACTCAACAAATAGTAACAAGTGAGTGCAAACTACTCCATGCAATCTTCATATGGATTGAAGGACGACTTAGCGTGTTGTCCTTTGAGTTAAAGCTGTATTCAATATTGGAATGAATAACAGTCCAGAAACAGAATTCTATTGATCTTGGTGCCTCACCTACCAGAAGTCCTAATATATAATATAGTCTGATATAAGGCTATTTGTTTGGGGATGAAGCTTAGGCACCATCCTTATAAATGCCCTCTACAAGCTTGGACACAGGCATGGTCTGTTACAAAGCTAATATGGAACTGGGTTCTTCTACAAGCCATGCTTGCAGATGTTCAAGAATATATGGTCAGTTCACACATCATGAACACCTCTTTTTTATGTAAATTTTTTTCATTTACTATTAATTTCAATGAAAATTTACAGAAACTTTGGATTTCTATTCATTCATTGTTGCACTTTTCTCTCCTCACAACCCTCCCCCCAAGTACACCCCCCTCTTGGGAAAGTAAAAAAAAAATTCTTTCATTGTTTTACAATCCCTCCCCCCAGGTCCACTCCACTATACAGCCTTCGCTCTGGACTCCCGTCATGACACAAATACCTAATCACATATCCCTTTTAAACAGTTTTCTCCCTCATCTGTTTCAATGCAGTATACATTATTTATCCCATCTTTCTCAGTCTCCCCCCAACCCCAAGGTTGGTCCTGTTTTATAATAGCGGCACCATGCAGTATTTGTCCTTTTGTGACTGAGATAGCTCACTCAACATTATGTCCTCCAGGGTCACCCATTTTGAATAATATTGCAGGAGTTCCTTGTTTTTTCAGTGCAGCGTAGCATTCCATTGTGTGACTAGACCACAGCTTCTCTACCCATTCATTTGTCAATGGGCACTTAGGTTGTTTCCAACTCCTTGCTATTGTGAATATAGTCACGATAAACATGGGTGTGCATATATCTGCTTGGATGTCAGTTATGGTCTCTTTGGGGTTTATTCCCAGTAGTGGAATTGCTGGGTCAAATGGTATCTCTATTTGCAACTTTTTGAGAAAGCACCATACCGCCTTCCACAGTGGTTGCACCATTTTACACTCCCACCAACAGTGAATAACGGTTCCAGTTTCTCCATAACCTCGCCAGCATTTGTTGCTTGCGATTCTGTTATATTCTGCTATTCTGACTGGGGTGAGTGATATCTCATAGTTGTTTTAGATAAACACCTCTTAATTCACCACAGTCTACTTACAGCATTCCTCTGATTAATTCACAAACTACTAATTGCTCTGATAATGGTTCATTTCAGAAATGACCTGTGCTAGCAATAAAAGTTTTAGTGATAATGAAGATACTATGACTTTTCCAATATCATGCTAGATGAGCACCTTTAAAGTGTGAATTCCTGACGAGAACACAAGCTGCCCTGGAAATGCTTTCAGCTAACACGTTCAAATGTCACACTGTCTGTGCCGACGTTATTAAAGTAAATTACAGGCATAAGCACAGGATACAATGGGAAGTATTAGAACGATTCTTTTGCAATCACTGACGACTATTATACAAATTTGGCCAACATTCCTAAATGTTGCTACTGGCATCACTTCTCATATATTTGCAGATATAGTCATTCAATCAACAAACTTTAAGGAAAAACTGATAATTAGATCATTGGACTACTTTTACCTCAGTTGAGATTTAGTGCATTGTAACAAAATCCTGAATAAGAATTCTTGGCGTTGCTTATTCGTCCAGAGGTCAAACCAATGACTTACAAGGGCCACTCTTTCCTGAAAGAGCTGTAAGAACAAAAACTGATAATTTGTTGTGCGGTGCAATATATTCTTAGTTGCTAAGCTATCCTGGGGCATTTTGCAAACAATACCCACTGCTAATATTTGCATAGCACATTAAGCTCACAAAGCATTTTCATGTATGTAGTTGGGGGGAGGTCCCCTCACTTCAGTTTGAACTGGTTTTTACCTCAGACCTCAGATAGAGAGACACGCCTGGGCTTGTTGGGTGGGCTGGTGGGGAAAGTTGTCAGGAGATATAATTACACAGGGGGTAGGAAGGAGCCTCTCTGGGAAACAAAGAGATAATAGTTTCTGGCTCTTATTTCTACCTTAAGTGGCCTGAGGAAATTACATTCCATACATATGCTCTTGAAAACACATACCCACATACCGGTTACATTTATTTCATTGTGAAAACAGAACAATTTAAGGTAGATATTATTTTACTAAGGCATAGCCCTGAATCTTCACAAAACTAGTCCAAATGAAGGTGTATGAGTCTTGCTTAATGGCCATTATGTATCCCAGGAAAGAAATACACCAAATACCAGCACCTCTCCAAACCTGGGGTTCGATCTACCTTTGCTCAAATGAGCACACACAAGCTTGCAGCACTTTGTACTAGGCTACGCTCCTGGGCTAGTCTGTTCCCCTTATAAATGGACTGAACTGCACCTGAGCTCTAAGGACCCAGTAAGCCCTCGTTAAGTGAAGGAGAACTTCCCCATGCCGTTCAGTGCCCACTTCCTGAATTACGTTTTGGAGGTTGAAGGAGTGGACCCCTCAAGCTACATGGAACCATAACATTGGCACAACAGAGAATAGAGCATCAAAGAAATACATTGAGAAATGTAAATTAATGCTCTCCCTTTCCTGCAACTACCACAAAGCAAAATATCTTCTTCCTTTCTCTTCTTTCTGGCTTGTGCCCACAACCTCTGAGGGATACAGAGAGCATTTTCCAGTTAGAGTGTAAGGAGAGGTACATCTTGAGTCTCTTGGAAGGCAGGAGTTGGGCGCTGGGCTGAGAAGAGGAAGTCTTTGAGGCGCACAGATCAAGGTTTATTTTTATTTAAAGAAACAGAAAAAAGTTAAGTCGTTTAAAGATTTTTTTTAAAAAAATATGGTAACGAAACACAGCAGAGTCGAATCAACCATCTAAATCAGAGCTCTTGTCTAGCTATCTTACTCACCTCTCTATTTAACGGTTTGTTACTAAAAGGGGTCCAAGCACTGAATCTTGTATGAAAGCCATCCATTTCTACAGGGCTCCGGGGAGACTTTCCAACTGACATCACAGCAAATGATTTATTTCAGCCTTGGGAACCGCAAAGTTTATTCCAATAAATATTTAAGATTTTCTGAAAACATCCAATATATTAACATATTAATATTTTACTTAATGATATCAATTCCATTTTTAGATTTATAGGAATTACATAAACTCATTTGTCTATTTCTCTCATATGTGCTAGCATGCGCACACACACTCACAGTTCCAATGAAGATCTGGTAACACAATAGCTAAGCACTTGACTGTAACTCCAAAGGTCAGCAGTTCAAATTGATCAACCACTCTTGGGAGAAAAAAAGCTGGCAATTGACTCTTATAAAGATGAACCAATCTCAGAAGACTGTCTTAAAGAAAGTCAGCTAGAGTCTCAGAAGACTGTCTTAAAGAAAGTCAGCTAGAGTGCTTCTTAAAGGCAAAGATGATAAAGCTTTGTCTCACATATATCAGGCATGTTGTTACGAGAGGCTTTTCCTCAGAGAGGGACACATGCTTGGAAAGGTGGAGGGTCAGCTAAAGAGAGGAAGACCTTCAACCAGAAGGGTTGACAAGCGACTGCAGCAAAGAGCCTGAGTCTGTCAGAGATTGTGAAGGCGGCACAGGACAGAACAGCATTCAGATCTTTGGTCACAGGGTCTCTAGGAGTCCTGCTTGACTTGATGGCACCATTAACAGCAACCACAGCTTGAGAAGGGGCCTTCCATCACTGTTACCATGCTTTATCAGTTGTACATATGATTCACAATAGTCTCCAGAGACCTATGAACTAAAAGGTCCTTGTTATACACACACACACACACACACATACACACACACACACACACAGAGTTGATAAGGGTCAGAGAACTAACTACAACTCATATTAACCCTATGAACAGCAGGTGTAAACCTTGCCATATCCTACACCAGCCTCACAAGTTCTGACTTGCTCAAGCCCATTGTTGTAATTTGTGGGTCAGTCCATCTTGTTGAGAGTCTTCCTCTCTTTCTCTGCCCCTTCACCTTTCCCACTATGACGTCTTTTTCCAAGAACTGGTCCCTCCTGGCAACATGCTCAAAGTACATAAGACAGAGTTTCACCATCGTTTCCTTTAAAAATGTACATATATGTATATATGCACACCTCACACACTCTATGTGCACACACACAAACACATATACATACCCAGAGATACCGGGAACAGGATGACTACAGTAAATAGCCCCTTTATGAAGGGAAGAACGAGAGACTGAGGGAAGAGCTAGTTTATAACGACTGTGCTGGAGAAGGCTGGAGCTCGGTGGCTCATTTTTATCTCAGAGAATCAGTCCATTTTAGTCCTTGTCAGTGATGTTGTTGTTGTATGCCATCATTGTTGTATGTCAGTGATAGTTTTAGGAAACAAGTCTCTTAAAATCTCTATTTATTTGGTCCCCGGTAGTTCTATGTCTCATAGCTGTTTAGAGATCTTTCTCTTTTCTCTAAAGTTAATTGCAGGTACATTGAATGCACCACTTACGTCAAATTAAAAAACTCATTGCCATCAAGTTGGAACTGACTCATAGATGACCTTCCAGTGGGGTTTCGGAGGCTGTAAATCTCAGGGGAAGAGATTGCTCATCTTTTTCCCACAGAGTGTCTGGTGGATTTGAACAGCCCGCGAGACGCCACCTTCAGGCTAATAGTGGAACTTCCCAAGGTCTACACCACCAGAGTCTGACTATAAGACTTTTTATTTTAATGAAAGTTTAGAAAGACTTTGGATTTCCATTCATACACTGTTGCACACTTTCCTCACGATCCAACCCCTCCCCCGAGTTTGCTTTTCTCTTTGAAGAAAAAAATTCTTTCTTTGTTATACAATCCCCCCTCCCACCAAATCCACTTTATTATGCAGCTCTTATTCTGGACTCTTGTCATAAAAAAAATATATATATACCTAAACATATATATATATTTTTAAACAGTTCTCGCCCTCATCTGTTTCCATGCAGTATACATTATTTATCCCCTTTTTAAAAAATTCTCCCCAACCCCAATGTCATTTCTGTCTCACAACATTGGCACTATGCAGTATTTGTGACTGAGATATTTCACTCAGCATAATGTCCTCCAGAGTCACCCATTTTGTATAGTATTTCATGAGTTTCTTGTTTTTCAATGCAGCATAATATTCCATTGTGTGAATATACCACAGTTTCTCTATCCATTTATTTGTTGATGGGCACTTTGGTTGTTTCCAGCTCTTTGCTATTATGAACAAAGCTGCAATAAACCTGGGTATACATGTATCTGCTTGGGTAGCAATTATGGTTTCTTTAGGGTATATTCCAAGTAGGGGAATTGCTGGGTCAAATGGTATTTCTATTTCCAACTTTTTGAGGAAGTGCCAGACTGCCTTCCATAGTGGTTGTACCATTTTACACTCCCACCAACAGTGAATAAGGGTTCCAGTTTCTCAGCAACCTCTCCAGCATTTGTTGTTTGCTGCTCTGTTAAATTTTGCTATTCTTACTGGGGTGAGATGATAGCTCCTAGTTGTTTGACCATAAGACTTTTTGTCCAAGTTATTTTTTTTCAATAAAGATCTTCTAGAGGCTACCTCATTCCATTCAGAAATTCCAGTTGTCAAAGAGCCATACTCAGGGCTTGGCCACTAGGCAGCATGTTAGTAGCAAAAATATTGCTCGGAGGCTTTACTTTTTTTTTTTTCTTTCTTTATTAGGTAATGATGTGAATTAGTGTCTCTTCCAATCTTGCAAGTTCCTGTGGCCTAGTGGTAAGAAGCTGTATTACACTCTCAAAGGCACACAGTTCTAATCCACCAGTTAGTTGCTCCTCAGAAGAGGAATGGGCAATCTCTTCACATGTGATTTACTGCTTCTGAAAATCCCCTGAAGAGTCATCTGTGGGTCAGTTCTAACTCAACAGCACACAATAACAACACCAACTTCCTTTTAATTTCTACTTGCAAACCAATCAAATATTTTCTTATTTTTTATTAGGTGCTATCGAGTCAACTACAACTCCTAGCAATGTTATGAACAAGAGAACAGGATGATCCTTGCCCTATCCTGCACCACCTTGACAAGCACTGACACGCTCCAGCCAGTCTCTGTGTCAATCCACCTTGTTGAGAGTCTCCCTCTCTCTCACTGACCTTCCACCTTTCCAAGCATGATGTCCTTTTCCGAGGACCGCTCCCTTCTGAGAACATGCCCAAAATATGTAAGACAAAGTTTCACCATTCATATTCTCAGAAGCACCCTGACTACATTTCCTCCAAGATACACTTGTTTGTTCTTTGGGTTCACAAAATACTTTTCTGAGCTCCTCTATTATTTATATAATAATCTATATAATTAGATTATATATT